AGCTTTCCTCATCTCTAAATAAAGAGTTATCGCTGCCCTTGATACAATCATTGAGCCATTATTCGATTTCTTTTAAAAGACCCGAACCGGTTTACCCCCCAAATCGTTTTGCGGCTCTCAAAGTGGCGTAAAACCACCCATTTCCATATTTTCAGAGAGAGTAGGGTATATCCGCGTTGACCCGCGCGTTGTAATGTTGCACCTTGTCATGCCTTTCGGTCGTTTCACAAGATCATTAGTTGTAGTCAAAAACGTTAAGCAGCTTCTACAAATAGTACAACTTTTCTTTTTGTTCCCACCATATGCAGAGCGTGACCTTTGAACCGTAGATATTTTACTTCGGCGTCGATGTAGACGATGATGGATGAAATCAATGGGCTTGTGATCATTGCAGTATATTCACCTTTCATCTTCAGTCACGATCCGTTGCGAAAGTCGCTTTGATGTCTTTTCTAGAAACAGTTCGGAGGTGAAAAATCGCTTTTCAATATCTCTCGGCTTGAATTTCCTTGCTTTGAGTAAATCCAAATTGCTTTAGCCAAACGAAAATTGTTTTTTGAGTCATTGCTAACGATTCTGTGAGCTCAGTTTGCGTTCGGCACGTATCTTGATACAGGCTCCAACTCCTCATCTTCAAACTTTTTAGGTTAGTTAGTTTTGGATGCTAAAATCGCGACTTTGGAAGCGTCAACTTGCATTGCATAAATCTGCATAACTTATTTGTGGGCTCAGATTGACCATAAACTTCTACAAGCATTCCCTCAAATCATCTTTATTCAATACAGATCCGGATAATAACTTGCTGGTGGAGCCACCTTTTGAGAACGAATCGAAAAAATTTGTACTCCTTATATTTCCACCTCTTATACCCCATTTAGCGAACATAAAAACGTTATCTCGTAAATAAAGGAAGAAAAAAATAACTTTGAATTAAATTCTTGCGCTACAGCCCATCGTTTTAACCTCGTTAAATGCACCTTTTTGTTTCTTTGAACGTCATTTGCACTTGGCTGTCACTTTTCGGCTTTGCTTTCAAGCATACTTGTCTAGTTTATGCGCTTTCTGAAAGATATTGGTCCATTTGCTGTGCCTGCGCTTATGCCATGAAACTGTTTTGAGTATAATTACCGTTATTTCCAATTGCAATTGCTTCCAATCTCCCGCTTCGCACAAGAAACTTACAAACTGAATTTCTCACTTTTTCTCACCTTTTTCTTGTTAACCTTAATTATTTTCTTTGATTTTACAATTTCAGAGTACAGAAAACAAAATCTTCTACATGAACGTCGGTGTTCTTGTAGTTCTAATTCTTCACTGTGTAACCCTCTCTCAGAAAAAAAAAAAAAAATAATAATAATAATAAATATTTATAATTTTATGTCACGAAATTCCATTATAGAAAATGTCAATAACAATTTTGTGAATTGTATTTACATGCATACATATATACATACATAGTATTTTTTATCAATAATGTAAAGCACCACATATTTTATGATAGTAATTTTTTCACGCCTACAAAAATATCATACATACATACATATTTACATAGATCAACAAACTCTTGAAGTAAGTTAAGTATAGGAACCCAGTAAAACAAAACATAAGAAATATTAAAATATATAATATTAGTTAGCCCTTCGTATAAGAATAAATCCCGCGTTGAACGAAAATCTAGGCATTAGCGAGGAAAGCTATAGTTTTTATTTTTGTAAAAAATTTTTAATCATTGAAGATCGCAACAAAATTTAATTTTTCATAATTTAAGAAGAATTTAAATAATTTTCGAAAATAATGCCAGCTGGAAATTGTAGCATAGAGGCACGGAAAATCTGTAAATTATGTTGAAATATTTCCTAATTGTACCGTTATAAAACCGGCATGACCTAAAAGAAAGAGAGTGAGCACGAAACAGTCATGAATTTGATTGATTGAAAGGGATGGTTAAGAATCTGACCGCAGCGGCCGTATCTAAGCCATTGGGTATTCTTACTTTGCTCCCCTGCTTATCCCAATTATGCTTTGACGAAAAGACGATTTCATAATTTTTTTCCGTTTCTCTCACGCGTGTGCACCCTTCTCCATAAAGCTGTAGCTTGGAGCACCCTCTCAATTTGCCGTCTCAATTGCCTGAAGATCGGACCCTCGCAAATGTAATGCTACAGCGTTTTATTCTCCTAACCTAGCATCTGGTGATTATATCTAAGGTCTCGTCAGTATACCTACACGAATGCTAAACTCTCTTTTTGCTTTAAGCTAGCAAGAGTTTAGTCTGTCTGTAATTTGCGCTGCCCCACATTAGTTTAAAATTGCTCCAGAACCTTAAGTATTCCCCTAGATTCCACTGTTTTAAACAAGATTTGAAGACGCTGAAAGCTTTGGTGAGAGCAACGCGAGTGGCGTCAGCACAATCTAGCTGATCCGCCCTTGGATTACATTCTATATTCGTATGACCCAAGTGTTAGTCATTGTGTTAATCGGTGATTGTCTGTTTATTGCCTCTTTGTAAGTTTGGCGCTTGGCTTTCTACAAGAAATCTTATGGTTTCGCCTGTTAAAGAGGTTGCCGAATTGACAGCTTAAATAATACCCACAATCTCTGATTGGAAGAAAGAGTTGTAGTTACGAAGTTTGCAGCTACTTTGGCTTTTGGCGCAATCGCAGAGAACCGCTGCTCCTGTGCCTATCTCGCATTTGGACCCATGGGTTTAGATCAAAATATATTTACTATTACTGATGTCGTTGTCTTCCACCCAATCTGTCTGCTAGTGAAAAAGTAGTTGGCTTGTACCTGGCAGAAGGTTTCCGTTCCCCAATCGCACTGTATGCGTAGCTAGCCATGCCCTTTACAGTGGGGGCTGGATGCAACTAACAATAATATCTAGTGCTGCTTTATAAGTCCTGACGTTAAGGAAGACTTCCAGGGTCATTGTTGAGGTAGTACTCATCGCGGCTACTATACCCAGTAGACAAGTACGTTGTAACTGCTCCAGAGGTATTTGGTGGATACCAACATACCAGTCCTGAATTAGTTTCAAATAGTTGTAAAATAGGCCTGAACTGCTCTCAAAATGTTTAGAAGATCCCGAAAATATGCTTGAAATTTTACCAAAATATCCTCGCAATAATATGAAAGTAGTATAGAAAGGATTTTTGCATAACTCTATTACTGATACCGAAGTAGTAGTCACGAACCAGTTCTGAAATCGACCTGAGTATGTTTTTTTTCTATATATTTGGTTTTCAAGAGGTATTAAAACACATTTAATCCAATGTTATGGTCAAGTATTTAGCTCTATTATAAAAAGGTTGGTCAGTATGTTTGGATTTCGTCCTGGTGAACGTCGTGGCTGGCTCGAATAAATTCAAGCCGAGCGGCTCAAAGTTTCGACCACTTTTTGCAGCAATAATTCTTAGAACATTCTCTTCCGAGGCTTCAAGCGTCTCGGACTTATCGGCGTAGACAAGCGACTGCACATAACCAAACAAAAATTAATCAAGTGGTGTTAAATCGCACGATCTTAGTGGCCATGCCATAGGCCAGTGCGAGACAATGCGCTCACTAAAAGTCTCCCCTCAATAAATTGTTAGTCTCCTTGGTTGTTTGGGTTGTAGCACATATCAACAAACGTCCAATTTAGGCACGGAAAAATCTTTAATCTATAGCGTTCCCCATTGACTGTAACATGATGGCTGACTTAATTTTTGAAGAGATATGGTTCAATGATTCCCTCTATCAAAACAGTGAATTTTTGAGAATTGTGAGTTGAATTTTTTAATCCCGCTAACCAAGATGTTTTTGCAAAATCTTCCATAATAGGGATGCGTGCAGCTTCAATTGTTGCGCGCGATGGCGAATGTACTCATTCGGGTCTTTGTTCGTTAATTTGCTCCACAGCAATAATAGCGTCTTCCGTGGACACTGTACGGCGTCTCTGAGTATGCGTAGCTTGAACCAAACTCTTTTTTCGGTAATAGATTTGCACGGTTTGGCAACGTTGTTCCCGAAGTAAGTCTGTTCATTATGAAAAGGCAAACCAATCTGAGTATGAATGAAGGAACAGCTTTCAAAAAGACGAACTCCGATAAAAGAGTTACCTCATTGAAAACCACACGCCTAAAAAAGATACCCTATATATCTGAAAGAATTCAACCAATTTTTTTGCAATGTAATGAATGATTGATGATGATGAAATATAATTTTTTTAATAATATTAAGTTTAAAGTAATATTCGACAAAGCTTTTTGCTACACTGAATTTGGAAAAAATTAGTGTTATTTGCGTTAATCATGCTGTATAACTTGATATTTGTAAAGGCAAGATAAAGTAATAGATTTAAATGCAAAATATTAGTGTAATTGGAGTAGAATTTTTTTATTGTTTTCCTGTGTAATACTAAGCTTCATAGCAATAAAAGCAACATATTCGATTATTTTTTAGATAAGTAATAGTAGATTTTATCAAAAAATAAATTACCATAAATAACATTAACCCAGTCATTGAATATCAACAAATTAATTAAATTATGGGATAATCAAAATCAAATTAAACTCAACACCAAAGTTATTTGCTGTTATTTTGTTCAGCCTCCATGCCTTAAACTATGCTACAGAAAATCTGGTATTTGAAAGTAAATTGAGTCTAATTTTCGGGGCTGTTATGTATGTCCACGAATTTTCAGGAGGTTTATCAAATTTATGCTTTAATTTTGGTGTGCGATTTTAATTTAATTTCGTCTCTATCCCAACCATTGAAACATATTTTCATACATACATAAGAATGTATTGTACGTAATTCAAATGCTAAGCAAAAGTATTCTTCTAAATACATATTTACATAATTGTGTGTATGTCTTCGCCATTTGCGTGTCACTAACCACTCAGCCCCCTCCCCACAACCACTACTAACTCACCACTCACTGCCCGCAATGCTTTGAACATTTGACTCATTAAAAAATTCATTCGATTTGTTTGTATTTCTCCTTCTCCTTCACCACACAGCCAACTATTGCGATCCCAAAGCACGGACCTGGTACCAATGGAAATCTACACGTTCCTTAATAGACAACAGCACAATACGAAATCCAACAATATTAACGGCAACAACAGCACCAGCAACAATGGCCTATCCGCAGGAGCGCAGCTCATCAGCGGAAAACTTAGCGGCGGAGCCAATAAGAAGATGGTCAAGCAGCACAGCACAACTAGCCAACAGTCCACATCATCTACATCATCGTCCGTCCATTCAACACCATCCGCAACAGGTGCACTCGTCTCAGATATACAGAGCGGTGGCAAAGGACAATCTCCCGGACGTTGGTCATCAAATGAGCGCATATTGTCAAGCCATCAACAGCAGCAGCTTCAACAACAGCAGCAGCAACAGCACGAACATCAAAAGCTTATTTGGCAGCCATTGCAGTCTGTGCAGCATCAACAGCAACTCCAGCACAAACAGTCAACAATTCATGGACTACAACAACAGTCACAGCAACAGCAACAGCAACAGCAGTCGACGCAGCAACAGTATCAGCAGCACGCAGGAGATAAGGAGTCGTTCATGCAGTCCCACTACACAGCAACTACTGGAAAACCGCCAACCGCTATTGGTGCAATATCCGCACAACCGCACCACCTCCAACACCACCATCACCACCACCACGAGCAACAACAACAGCAGCAATTGCCTGCCGCGTATAGCTTGCAATCGTTTTGCGGTGGGCAGACATCTCAACAACAGTATGGCGGTGACAACATCAGCATCGGTTCCGGTTCCGGTGCCGGTGCCGGCGCCACCACCACCACATCTGCGTCAATTGCTGCGTCGACACACAGTGATACCCAAATGGAGGACCAACTGTTGCTCAACGCAGACAGTGCCAGTCTCGATGGTGGCGGAACCATTAAGAAGCGAAAACGACGATTACGTTTCCCATTCGGTCATCGCAAATCCGCCAGCAATGCCAGCAGCAATAGCGGTGGTGCAGTCAGTACCAGCGTCAGCGCAAGCAAACATACATAGCTCGCATAGCGCTGGTTGTCTGACAGCAACATTGTACAACGGTGCGGCTGCTCGGCCGGTGAAGCAGTATGAGGGCGACGAGCTGGCGGAGGAGGAGAAGGAGGAGAAGGAGGAGGAGAAGGAGGAGGAGAAGGAGGAGCCGCGGAAAAGCCACCACAACGATGACGACAAATTGTTTGATATTGAGGATAATGTTAAATACGAAACTAAAAATGTTTGCAGGAGACGAGGTAACCGTGATAACGCCGAAAAAGATGCAGATTCCGAAAGTGAAGCTTACTCACAGATTACTTTGAATTTTGTAAAACGCGCCGCCGATGTTGCAGCATCTGCGCGCCAACTGAACGAACATGACAATAATATTTATAGTGATACCCAAGACGGCGGCGACAGCGGCCGCGACGAAAACTTTAGGAATACGGTCGCAAGTGGTTTCACAATAACGGCCAGCTAAATTACTTACATTTTAGGTTAGGCCAACGAAATACTTACGTACATATATACACTTTTTTTTTAAATAAGCCTAATATCACGGTCTTCCAAACGACAATTGAGACCAACGATGATGATGCAATGAAGATGATGATGAATGTGCGTGCGAGTACTTAATTTTACACATATATACACATATAAAGACACCATAATATTAAAGCAAAGCAAGTTGAGCCCTGAAAGTCATGCATACATATACAGCCAAGACATATGCTTCTTAATCCTGATCTCCGAAAGCATGGCTTTCTCCCCGAAATGCGCTCCACTGCTAAGTCGAACCATTTTCAGTGCTTCCTCGCAACACAAATCGTTGAACAAAAGCCTCAAGGCTTTGGCTTTCATTAGTGATGCGCAAATCCACGCTAAATCGTCAGCGTTTTTTTTCTTTTGTTCTTGTGTGCAAATTGGGAGAGAATTGCAACCCAAACAGTACTTACGCGTCAACACTTAAAAAACAAAGTAATGCAGAATTGAAAATGATGATGAAGTTCTAATTAAAAACAATAAAAAAATATGATTTCTTCCCCTAATAAGGCATTACCACCAATATAAGCTGCGCGATTTCGACATTCACTCAATATTGGAAAGACTATAAAGCATTGCTCTGCCTCCAAAGTAGGAACACTTAGAGTCTGGTTTCGGTTTGAGCTCTGCTTCGGTTATCTGATCGATCGATCGTTCTTCATTTCAGTTGCAATTCGTGACTATATGCCAGTTCTAAGCGCAGAGTAGCATGGATAACTTTGACAAGCGATAAAAAAAACCGACTAAGGGCGCAAAACAAAAAGGCGGTTAGGTTACTTTATAGTTTCTACAATGTCATAACTCACTTTTTATTTCGCTCACTTTTATGGCAGTTTCTCTTAGCGGTTGTAAAAAACATTCATGAAACACTGCGGAATGTGAACTAAAACCGGAAACAAACTATAAGATTTCCTACTTTGGAGGCTCAATTTCAACTGAAATTACGAGATTCCCAATTCTGGCCAAGGTGAATTGAAATAGGGTGAAGTTGATGGTACAGTTATTTTCTTCTTCTATCGACTTTTTGATTTCCAGAATGTTAAGCAAAAGAAAGAGAGAAATGTGAACAACACTATAGTCAATTAATCTTCAACGGAAAGTTAATTCATTTTTAATATCGTATTTAAAAAAAATAATATAATATATATATATATTCACACAACTAAATTTCTCTAGGCAAAGTAATTATTTTCATCATATTCTTTGCTAATTTTCGCTTTGTGGCCATCTTTAGTACATTCTCCCTGGTTTCTCTTTTATTCGCGCAAACCACTGTTCCTAAAATTTCATCGCTTAAGTAACGAAAATTCAAATGAAATTCAAGCAAGCAATCCACCAGACAATTTTTGTTGGCGGTAATTAGAAAACGAGTCGCCCTTGGCAACAAAGTTATCGCCGCTAATATCGCCATCGTATCTATTTCTTATTACCACTCGTTCTAAAATGTCCGCCCAAGGCAACTCTCCTAGACGAGTCGTTTTTTCATTGCCTGAATGAGACATTTTCTTCTTGCCTGAATAAGTCGTTTTATTATTGCCACAGGAACTTACTTTCCAGAACGATATATGAGAAATAACTGTCACTTTTATTCTTCTAAATAATTTATGTATTTTTTTATTTAAGATTATAATTTCCCTTGCCATAATGCTTCCTATTTTATTCGTACCAATCAGTGCCGGTTTCTCCTTTTTACACCTCCATGAAAATTTTTGCCAAATTATCTGTCAATGCAGCTTTCATGGCAGCTCGCAGAAAATTAGCACCATCAGATGTACCAGGCTTATTCACTAGTGTCTTAATGAAATTGTCAAAATCTGCTCTCTCACTAACGGGCGAGACAGGAAGGTTAGAAGACTATATAGTGACAGGCTGAATGTTTTTTTGATTGGCGAATCTCGTTCCTTAATGACGGAACCACTTCGGATAAATGAGCTATAACTCTTCACATCGGCCAAAAAGCTTAAGTCTAAAATATTTCTTTTATTTATTTATTTCTTGCAATGAATGAAAAATCTTGAATTCGCCTTGGTTGCGTAGGTTAATATTTTTTTCTATCAAAAATAAATTCAACTGAACGATTTTTGTATTTTTTTAATTTTCATATTAGTTTTTGAGTGAAGAATTTTCAGAATAATTAAATATATATATTGTACATATATATGACCTAACCTCAAAAAAAATTTTTATTTTAAATGGTTTGAAATATTAGTAACTTCTGACCTTTTCAGAATACATTTTTATTTTTAGCCTTAAATTCCTTATTCGGTGGTAGTTTCGCTTATATTAAGGGCGAATAAATTTTGTAAACTGTATAAATTGCATACAGAAGAAACCCGTTATATCGGAAATTATTTACGGTTTTATTTTACTGACACCGTCAGTTGATTAGCTGAGTATGCCTGAGTGTTGACACATATGTAAGTACTGTTACTGTTGTAAGTCTGCATATAGTATTTACGGTCTTATATGAAGGAACATAATAAAGTAATTAAAAAAAAAAAAACGAAAACTATTTTAAATTTGTTTTGTAATAAAGCCGTTAATGGGCTAAGTGCTTCCCTATATAATTTTACTTATTGCAAAAATATATCTATATACTATATATTTATTTGTGCAATTATATACAAGTATGCGTATAAATAAAATTAGTAAAATGTAAAAAAAAAAAGAAAATTGTGTTGGTATGAGTGGCACAATTGATATTTAAAAATATTTAAATTCAAAGAACAATACTTGACAACATCATTTCCTTGAATTCCTCGCAGATACAGACACACGCACACACATACACACACACACACAGACACTGAGCATTAAATCGAAATATTAGTAATTGTAATCCTCTTCGAATTAATGTAATACGAATGCGATCGTATATAAAGACATACATATATGCATATGATAATAGTTCCAAAAGTGCCTCAGAGAAATCAATATGATATTGCATAGTAATTAGTAGCGTAAGTTGTGGATTATTTTTTTTTGTAATTTTTCTTTTAAAATTTAAATATTTTTTCTTCTTTTTTTTTGTGTAATATAAAACGTGCTTGAAAATAATATTATAATGCCAAAATGATCAAAAACAACGCACAGACAAGGAAAGTAATATTTAAATATGTTTCTTATATTTTAAACTTTTCGTGTCTTATATACATATGTATATGGATGTATAAATTAATTCGGTCCTCTTTTTTTTATTTAAAAACATGTGTATTTGAAAAAAGTAGATAATTTTAAGCATTTTCCCTCCGAAGCGACTACCTTTTCCTCATTTTTTTTTTTTTGCTAATTTTCGCTGCTTCGCCGATCCCATTATTGAGCCTTTTTTCTATTTCTTCTTTAAAAATCCGAATCGGTGACCGCACAAATCGTTTTCGGTCGTTGAAAAAGCTATTAAACGGAAGAGGCAAAGAATGGAGCACACTTTTTGTTGGTGGGATAAGACCCCCCATTTCAACGTTTCCGGGTAGTTTGTCATGTCTTTCGTTTCTCGTTATATATTCACCTTTCATCTTCAGTCATGAGCCGGTGCAAAAATCCCTTCTCTTAATGTCTTCCAAGAAACAATTCCGAGGTGAAAAGTCACCTTTCGACATCTCTCGGATGCAACTCGTACGGCACTGAATTTCTTGCTTTTGGATAAATCCAAATTGCTTTAAGCGAACAGAAATTGTTTGCTTAGACACGGATCTTGATAGAGTGAAGCCTGCAATTCCGATTCCATCTTCCAACTTTATAAGTGTTCTCAAGATACTCTCTGGGTCGCGACTTTTGCAAGGCTTATCGGCCGGCGCGGATCCACCAGAAACTTCTTCAAGTATTTAATTGGCTTAGCTGCAGTTTTCTTTTAATTAAAAAATGTGGAGGACATACACACTGTAGTTTGTATAAACCAAATCCGGACAATTTTGAAGAGGCAACAAACAATGTTGTGTTGTTGTCAAAAATAGACACTGATGCACAACAATTATGCTTGACAGTTGTGAAACTTTTCCACTGAAATTGGTAATCGCTTTCATAATCGGCCACAATTTGCTAATGGAGCCAGCGGTAAGGAACCATACCTAATTAATTGGTGCCGCCAATGTATTACATATTTAAATATATTTTTTTTTTTGCAATTTTAATCGAATAATTTTTATATCGCGTAAAATCATATTTCAGGAATACAAATTAAACTAGGAAAGTACTTCCAGACCTATTGAACCTTGCAAGAAGGAGAAAGAGAAAATCTAAAATTAACAGAAATTGAAATGCCTTAAGTCTGTGCGTTGTTTTTGTGCATACAAAACTCTTACTATAATTTTTTTTACACACCGAAAATTAATTTTTGAACTTATAATATTTTTTAGCCCCAAAAATTATTGGACTGATATTTTCTTGGCTATGAAAAGTTATTAAAAATTGTTATTAACTTGTATTATATACATATATATATATACAAATATCTATATACATATATATATATATAAATATTATATTATATATATGCTTTGTATTATATGTATTAAACTTAACTAACACGATGCTGTGTATGTGCGTACGTAAAGGATGAAAAACGAACAAACATTACGTACGTCGAATATTTACTTAATTTGGTATTAATTGCAGACATTACCTTCATAAATGAGTTATAACTAAATAGCTATTATTTATATCATGACACATATAAATATATAAATTAATATATGAATAAATACATAAATGAAAAGCGTGTGTTTTACACAGCGTTAGCAATATTTAATATATTAGTATGTATTAGCGGTAATTTGTAACAAGTATATAATAAAATTTTAATTAAAAGAAAAAACGTTAGACTCACACAAATACATTGTATTGTATGTAGGTGAAATAACTCTTTACACAGACATTAAGCACTATATACATACATATGTATACATACATATTACCTAACAACTAAAGAAAATGTGTAAAACCAATGCATACATAGTAATATTTGTAAAATACAACTAAATTTTTACCACAATTAAACAACAGCGAGAGACGCAAAAAAAAAATTAAAAATCAGCCAAATCGCTGAAAAAATTTATAACATTATATACCTTTTAATAAAATTTACCAAAAAAACAGTAAACATTTTTGTTTCCTTTATCATGAGTTCGTTGGCAGTTAGAGTTTTGTATATCAGAAACTATGCCTTGCAATGGATCGATTAGATAACCTTAATATTATTGGATGAGTGTATAAGTTCGTGCCCGATTTTATTAATCAATTATGTATTCGCCATCATGTTTGGCAATCCACTCCCAACGTTCAACCAATTTACGGATGCCCGATTCATAGAAATCGCGCGGTTTCTCGTTGAAAAAGGTGTCAAGGTGGTTTTTGACGTCTTCCACATTTTTAAATTTTTTTCCATTCAAATTGTTATGCAGCGATCGAAACAAATGATAATCAGAAGGTGCAATGTCGGGTGAATATGGGGGATGCGGCATGATTTCCCAATTCATCTCCTTCAGTTTGGCCAGGGTCGGTTTTGCAACATGTGGCCTGGCGTTGTCATGATGGAAAAGAACTCCTTTGCGATTGGCCAAAATCGGACGTTTTTCATCAATTGCTTTCTTCAATTCGACCAATTGCTGACAATACTTGTTGGCAGTGATCGTTTCTCCAGCTGGCAAGAGCTCAAAATAGATCACGCCTCGGATATCCCACCAAATGCACAGCAGTACCTTCATCGGATGCAATCCACCTTTCGACATCGGTTCCGCCCCTTCGTGTGCCTGTTTCCATGTTCTTTTGCGTTGAACATTGTTGTACAGGATCCATTTTTCATCACCAGTCACGAGCCGATCCAAAAAAGGTTCGTTTTTGATCCGTCGAAGCAAAGAAATTGCTGTTGACATACGGTCCACTTTGTTTTTTTCACTCAACTGATGTGGCACCCATGTATCGAGCTTCAAAGTGTACCCAACCTTTTTTAAACGACGAAACGCAGTTGATTTGTTGACGTTCAATTCACTGGCAACCTCTTCCGTCGAAATACGTGAGTTATTCGCAACTAAAGTCCTTAGAACATCGTCATCAAGCTCAGAAGGCCGTCCACTGCGAGGTTGATCTTCGAGGTTAAAATCTCCAGAACGAAATTTCGCGAACCATTTCTTTACTGTGCGGAGTGCTGGAGCACGGTCCAAATAAACTTCGCGAATATCTTTAGTTGCAGCGCCTACTGTTTTTCCTTTGCCGAATTCGTATAACATAATATGACGCATACGATCTTTTTCGTTGTCCATCTTCCATGCGTATTTTTACTAAGCAACTCAAATCAAAACGAAGTTATTTTATGCTTGATTTACAGTTCGGACTGTCACCTTTCCAACGATATATAATATGTATATATTTCACTCATCCAATATAAATAAAAATAAATACTTGTTTGTTAGTGACGCTAAGGCTGGAGAACGGCTGGATCAATCTTGATGGAATTTTCAGAGGTTGTTTCGTTGTGGATCTGGGTAGGTTTGGAATAAAAGAAAACCTAAAACTGTTTCTGAGGAAAAGTCGGACAAAAGGAAAAGTCCAAAAGGGGTTTTTTTCCATACAAGCATTTATTTAATTTTTTTAATTTTTTGTTTTAATTTGTTTTTTCTTTCCGATTAGTTTATTCGAACAGTTTTCGTTTGTTGGTGAATACACCTAACCTCATTTTCTCTCATGTAAAAATCGTATGATCGTTTGGAAAAATCCAGTAATCTCCAAAGGTTACCGACCGATTGAAATTAAAATTTTGTCAAATAGTTTCCGTAGTTCCTTGGAAGGTTTTTACAAAAGAAAAATTTGACAAGGGACTGACGTATTAAAAAAAATCTTATTTACGGTTCGGCTTACTTGAAATTCGGTGATAAGGTGGCTTTTTGCTTGGACGATCAAGAAAACTACACATCTCTCCGGGAAATGGACACCAATGTCAATGGCTATGCCCACAATATTGAGTAAACAAAGTTATGATAAAAAGATATCCCGTGATTAATTTTTCAAACATTCAATGACTGTGTGCGACAGCGAAGCGCGTCGCAGGGTACAGCTAGTATCCATTAAAATCGTAATGATGAATAAAATTAGGAAGACAAATATAAGACAGATTTAAATGGACCTACATTTATTGGAGTTTACTTGTGCAGAATGCCAAGTTTCAGGCTCTCATTTTCTCTTTAGACAGATTCTTCATCCAAAATATCATATCTGTTGTTGTTGACATCGTTCACGCCTCTGCGTCATATAGTAGGACGGGAGCGATGAGCGACTTGTAGAGCTTGGTTTTCGTTAGGTGAGAAAAGACTTTACTTTTCAATTGCCTATTTAGTCGAGAGGAGCACCGGTTGGCAAGAGTGATTCTGCGTTGGAGTTTAAGGCTGACATTATAATTGATGTTGATGCTGTTTCCTAGATAGACGAAATTAACTACGACCTCGAAGCTATAATGTCAACAGTGTCGTAAGAGCCGAGGCTCGAATGTGCTGACTGCGTGACCAGATAAATTTTATTTGTCTTGTTTTCGTGTACCATCAAACCCATTTGCTTGGCTGGAGAAATCAGAACTAACGGCGACCTTAACCACACCAATTATATCAATATTTAAAACGACGACACTTGTTATTTTCTCCAGTACGC